CCTCGCCGGCGGCGCCGAGTGCGGCTGCGCGATACGGGCGCGCCCCCCGCCCCGTGGGCGCGCGTGCGCCTGCGTAGAAGGGCAGAAGGGCCCCGTCCCGGCCCGTGGCTGCCCTGACTGGCGCTGCTGCAGGTTCTGAGCCCTGATCTTGAGCCTGGGGCTGCCGTCTGCTGCCGAAGGAGGGCAAGCGCGCCCTAGTCTGACCTGGACACCAGAGTCCGGGTGCCCTTGGCCTGTGCCCCTGCTCCTCCGCCAGCGCGGCTCCCTCTCAACCTCTTGGCTCCTTGGGTCCCTTGGCGGGGTAGCCGGGATGCCCGATTCTAGTTCTGATGCCACCAGACGCGGTTGTGACCGCAGGCGCAGCTGCTTGTGTGCACAATGAGGTTCACCCCCCCCCCCCCGTTTAGTTTGAACGTTTTCACCACCTTCTGTTGGGGTGGGAGCTCCACCCCATCCCCTGGCACCCGGGCACCTCTACACCCAAGGAGTCCGGAATGTTCGTTCGAAGGGGCGGGTTTAGGGGGAGAGGGGAAGGGAGCCGAGGAGGATCCAGACTCCTTCCAAACATCCCGCACCCTTTGGTGTAGGGGTGCCAGGGTGCCAGGGGGTGAGGTGGAGCTCCCACACACACACCTTCCCCTGCTGAGGCTGGGGCATGTCTAGTTGCTGAACGAGGACCTGGCCATCCCCAGGGAATGGGGCAGACACAGGGAGAGGCGCCCCCTGACGCTAGCATGAGTGTTTTTATCTGTGTGTGTGCGTGCACGCGCGCTGCGGGAGTAACGTGTAAGCGGGCATGCCGGTGCCTGAGGAGCCCGATCCGGGTGGAGCCACAGGCAGTGTGAACCGCCCGTGGGTGCTGCGGCGGAGCCCTGGGTCCCCCGCAAGATAGCGCGGCTGAACCCCCAGCCATCGGTCTAGCTCCCCTGCTTCATCGCTGTAACCGCGTCTGCAGAGGTTTTTATCTCCGCATCAAGGCCTCAGGCCCGCGCGAGGGTCATTACCTGGACAGGCTTGGGTGGAGGACAGAACTCAGCCCAGGGCAGTCGGAGGAATCATTTCCTGGCAGACATAAGCAAGGACCTCAGTCAGCTTGCTAACAAGATGGAGAGACAGCCTGAGTTCATTCCTGGGACCCCCGTACGAGTGGCCAGGACTAACCTCCGCACGAGCGCTGTGGCACACATGTGACACACATGTGCACACACGCAGCCAGCCCTCAGGACGCAGAGCAGGACCGCTTCAGGTTCGAGGCCAGCCTGTCTCCCCGGCTTGGCGCTACTGAGCAAACCCCGTCCGTAACCAGCTAAAAGAGATGATACGAAAATTCCTGGCGCGCGGCCCCAGACGCCCTCCTGGGACAGGAGGTTGGCGTCCACACTCAAGTGTGGCTCACCTGGCCAGCTGCTCACACCGACCACAGGAAATAACCCTAAGCCGGGGTTTTGTTCCATGCCCTTTAGTTCAGACGCTGGGGAGGAAAGCCAAACTGCAGAGCCCGGCTTGAGGCGGTAATTCTGTTCTCTGCTCCCCAGCCGATGCCCTCCCTACCCCAGCCTGGTCCTGAGATGCCCTCCAGGAGCTCCGTGTTGTAAATGGGGAAACTGAGGACGCTTGGAGATGAGACGCTGGAGCTTGGGGCTGGGTTCTTCCCGGAGTCCTTGGGGGCACTAGGGCAAACCTTAGTAAGAGGGGTAGGTGGACCTTGCAGGGTATGACAGCCAAGTACGTCTTCAGACCTGGGGTCCACAGGGTTACGGACAGGGAGCACCCTTCATGCCTTTCTCTGGAAATGGCCGCCAGCAGAAACAGGAAGGGGGTGTACCTCCCTGCAGAGCTGTTCACTCTGCCCTGCCCTGCCCTGCCCTGCCCGGGCAAGCCTCCAGCTTGCTGTCAGGTCTACCTCCAGCCTCCTGTTTACAGGGAGGCTTCCAGTGGTGTGGGACACTCAGAGGCCTCCGGCGTGGGGGCTGGGAGCTGGGGTGACCAGCGGGCCTGACGTCCCCCACTGGCTCAGCTTCTGCCCCCGGGAGATGTCCCTGGCTCCCTGCGAAGGAATGCCTGCAGGAAGCCTGCCGGAGACCCTGTTTCCTCCGTCCTTGGACGGGGTGGCTGGCCAGGTGATGGGTGGGTGGGTCTAGCCTGAGCAAAGGAAAGACAGACCAGAAGGGTGAGGAAGGTCCTAGGCTTACTCCCCCTGCCCAGGGTTCCAAGGGAGGTGGCTGGCCTTGAAGGGCTCAGGGCGTTAGGCCTGACTGCGGCCTCCTGAGCACTAGGTCTGAGCAGACTCTTAGGTACAAAGGAGGACAAACAGGAAACGAGGTGGGGCCCCAGGCACACGGCCTCAGCTTCCTGCATCCGCTGGCACGATTCCCAACGGCCTGGCTTCTCGGCTTCTTTTCCTTCTTTGCCACGAGGTTAGGAAAGGGACCCAGACCTTTCCACCTGCGAGGAGAGGACTCAGGGCTGAGCCCCGCCCCCAGCCCGCACTGGGGATTCTGGGCGGGGCCCCACCGTGACCACGCCCCCAGCCCCTCACTGGGGATTCTGGGCGGGGCTCCACCCTGACCACGCCCCCAGCCCCGGTTTTTTTTTTTGAGACAGACTTGCTTTGTAGCTCAGGCTAGTTGTAAGCGTTCTGTAGCCTCAGTCATCCCTTTTGGGGTAACAGAGTGGGTCATCCCGTTCTCCCAACCTCAGATATCTGCCATTGGCCTCCATGTGCACCCATTTTCTCTTTCCTTGGTTTCAGCAGACATTCTGTCCACACGCGTAAGTGTGAGCAAGTGCTGGGCTTGTGGCTGGCCGTGCAGCCCGTGCTGGGACTGACACGGTGGTATCCTTGCACACTTGTACCTCTGGGGAGGGGAGATCCTTCCTAACCCGCTCGAAGCTGGCACTCCAGGCTCAGGGGTGGGGTCTGAAAGGGCCTTAGCCCTCCAGGGTCGGGACGACCACCTCGGGCTGAGGTAGCTGCATTTGGGGAAGGGGTAGAGTCTGCAGGCGGGGCGCTCACCCCACACCCCACCCTCAGCCGGCTCAGGTGCCCCGTGGAGGGACAGGCACCCATGCCCGGGCCTGATCTGATGCAACTGGCTGTAAGCAGCCCTTCCCGTCGCCGGCTGACTCACTGCTGTCCCCGAGCAGAGCGGGACGGAGCCAGTGGGTGTCCCACGCTGGGAGCAGGAAGAGCGCTGCGAGCCGTGGGTGTGGCCGGGCAGCCGCGTCTGCCAGGTCTGACCAGGCTGAGTGCCCGGGCAGCCAGCGTGGGGCCCCGTCCTCCTGACCAGGTCACGCCACACAAGTCCCTCCCCGCCTGGGGTCCCCGAGGGAGTGACAGGGGCCGTGCAGAGTGGCTGGGAAGCGCTGGCTCAGCAGCTGTTCAAAGCCACACCCTGACACAGTGAAGCAACCGCTGGCCAGCCTGCTCGCTCCGCCCCTGGGAGAATCCTCCAGGGAGGTCTAGAGCCTGGTCACCTGGTATTTGCTGGTGACAGGGACCTGGGGCGTCACATCCTAGAACCTGGAGTTTGCATGGGGAGGAGGTACTGGGCGGGGTGTGTCTCGTCGCCTCCTGGGGCACAGGGGGATCTGAAGCTGGGCAAAAACAAACAAACAAAAAGCTAGAGCTGGGGGCCAGCATAGTTTTTTTTTTTCTTCTTTTTTTTTTTTTTTTTTTTTTTTTTTTTTTTTTTTTTTGAGACAGGGTTTCTGGTTTCTCTCTGCAGCCCTGGCTGTCCTGGATCTCGCTCTGTAGACCAGGCTGGCCTCGAACTCACAGAGATCCCCCTGCCTCTGCCTCCCGAGGGCTGGGATTAAAGGCTGCGCCCCCACCGCCCGGCCACCATAGATTACTGAATGTCCGGGGCCACTGTGAGGTCCTCCTCTTGGGAGACGGAGGGTCAGGGCAGCGGCCAGGAGACTGTGTGGCCGGCCGAGGGGTTGGTGGCCTCCGCACCCCGGGACAAGCGCCAGAGCCGCAGGAGGGACTCGCGATGGCGACCTGGCTGCGAGCCTAGCGGCTGCGCCTGTCTCCAGCCCAGGGCGGCCAGCCTGGGACCTTTGGGCTCCCAATCTCGCAGTCAGCCTGGCCGCACGGGGCGCAGGCTGTGCGGGAAACTGAGGCAGGCCCTGACAGCAGCAGGAGGCGGCACAGGCAGGCGCAGGTCCGCGGGCCCCGACTGTGCCAGGCCCTAGAAGTGCAGGCGTGTGTCCTGCCACGCGGGTCCACAGCCCCTCTGCAGCCCCGGAAACGCCGGGAAGCCAGCGGTTGCCGGGCAACACATGGGCTTCAGCC